CCCTTCCTGGCCCGAGGCAGCACCAGGCAGAGCGAATTCTCAGACACTCACTCTGACTTCACACTCAGCTGGATCTGATAACAGACCATTTCCAGATAAACAGGGGATGGAAAATGAATTGACTTCCTAGAGGAGATATTTTAAATGCTTTAGATCTTTTAAAATTCCAGGAAAAATATGCCCCGATTGATGCTGTCTCTGCAGAGTGTTGTCACCTGGAGGATGGCACCGGCTGGGTGCCTGAATTGCTCCCTCTCAGACTCTGTACAGAGGGCGGCCCGGAGGCAGCCAGCCCTGCAGGTCACAGGTCTGTGCCTCCTGGAGCTGGTGCTGCTGGCCCTGCTCCCGACTCCGCTGCCTGTTGGCTGCTCCGTGTGCCCGGCTTCAACAGGCTTGTCCCGGAAGACGGGTTCACGGTGGAACATGACTAACACCAGCTCCATGTGCCTGGCACTTGACAACAAGGAGGATGTTATTATCCCCATTTTCTAGATGATGAAACAGGCGTTGGGAGGGCACCGTTTTCAAGGCCACAGCTAGTGAACAGAAGAGCTAAGATTCCAGGCTCGGCCTGTCTCCTGAGAACATATTCTTCCCACAGCTCCACTGATTCCAGCTCTGGAGTGCCCTTGCCCACAGCCCAGGGATACTGGAGAGATGCATGCTCTCCTCCTGGAGGCTCTGGCCGCTCCGCAGTGGGGCCGAGGCAGGGGTATTTTTTAAAGCTCCCAAATGATTTCTAATTTGCAGTCTGGGAAAGAACCCGGGCACAAGGCCATGATGCCTTTGGATCCCTGTTCTCCTGGAAAGTGGTTTCCAACGGAATTCATCGACAGCACATTCCGCCTGGCCCAGTCTCTGTGGTACCTAACAGGGATGGTGGGCTGGGGGTGCCTGGCGTCAGCCCAGCTGGCCTGTGCCCCACCCCTTCCCGGGGAGCAGAGAGGAGTCTCTGAGGCTCTCCTTGCCACCCGTAGCCCTGCCACCTGGCGGACTTCCCCTGCCCCAGCCGTCTTGCCATTTGCCTGCCTCCCCACCGAACAGAGCAGGCAGGAAAGGCCCCCCCAGCAGGGCTGGCTTTGCCTCCAGCAGGCCCCTGGGATGGGAGAGCTTGGGGGCCTGGGACTGAGCCAGCATCTCCCCTCCAGCACCTGGCCCACTGGTCATTGGAACCTGCCCTGGGGAGCTGTCACCACCCAGGTGGTTCCCCTGGGACAGTCAGGGAGCTTGGGCATCAGGCCACAGGGCCTGAAGGCTGGGAGGCGGGTCCTGTGCCCTGGCTCACACCGGGAATTGGGGCTGTAGGATGCCAAGTAGTGGATGCACCGTGCCCCGGCCCTACCCACTGGGACACGCCAGGGCCAAGTCCCCCGGGCTGGGGGCCGAGCGGCTGTCTCCTCCCCTGGCTGCCTCCGCCAATCCCCAGCAAGCCGCCCGCTGCACTTGCCAACGGAGCCAGATGCTGCTTTGTGGGAAATACCTTCTGGAGTTTGTTGTCTGAGCCCTCCCAGCCGACACCCACAGTGGAGAAGATGTGTCAGGATAAATGGAAAGTCTCTTCATAAATATTTGAAAAAAAGGCAAAAGGAAGAAGAACAAAAGAACTGCCCCCAAACTCCCACCGTTCTTAATGATTACTGCCAGCAGATGGGGGCACAGGTCTTTAACGTTCATCAATCTGCAGCACAATCCCAGCACAGCAGCCAGGGCCGGGCCTCCTCTGGCACGGCCAGCACCCAGGGGCCCCCGAGCTGGCCCCGTGGCTGGGAGAGAGGACGGCCCTGCCCCGGCCTTCGATGGAAGCCAGAGCGCCTGCGCAGGTGCCGGGCTGCCCTTTATCCATAATGCATAATTGTGCCTTTAAACTCAGCTGCCTTGGGACTTTATTACAAGCGGAGCAGAGGCTAAAATGGCTTTTAGGGGAGTCCCGGGGAGAAGGGTAAAGAGGCCCCGGGGGCCAAGGAGCTGGCAGGGCAGTGCTAGTGGGGCCCACACGTGAAGAGAGTGGTGCTGGAAGGCCCAGCGGATGGGGTGCCTCCCCCCCGCACCCGGGGGCTGGCTCTGGGGAGACAGGGCGTTTTAAGGCTGGGCTAAATAGTCCGCGGGTTCAAAGGCAGAGTTTGCTTCCTGACAGACGTGTGAGCTACACTTGATTCTGCATCAACTGGTAGTTTTCGTCAGGTTCTTACTCCTGTCTGGTCCCCGGCTGGTCACATTCTCTTTGACGAGTGACTCTGAAGAGTAAATACCATTCACTCATCCACTGACTCAGTTGACAGACGTAGTGGGTTGAACGGTGGTTCCCAAAAGAAATGTCTTTGTCTGAACCCTTGGATCCTGAGAATGTGACCTTTGTTGGGAAAAGGGCCTTTGCAGATGTAATCAAGATACGGATCTCGAGATGAGAGCATCCTGAGCTGGGTCAGCCCTAGGTCCAATGACAAGGGTCTTTATAAGAGAACTAGAGACCTGGTGCACGGATTTGTGCACATTGAAAGGAACTTAATTAGAAGGTGGCCTGTGGGGCGGGACTGGGCTAGACATGCCATGGAGCCAACCTCCCCCAGTCCCTCCCTGGCAGGTGCACCTGGGGCAGCACCGGGGCTCGAAAGGCGTCTGGGGAGTGATTGGGGTCCCTCTGGCAGGCGGGGTCCCTCGGCCTGGCCTGCAGGGATCAGGCTGAAACCAGCAGTCCAACATCTCCCGAGGGGTCCTGGAGTGCGAGAGGACACTCTGCAAAGTTGCTGTCGCTTGGCAGCTCCTGTGTTGAGCATCTGCCCCCTGGTGGTCACTGCGCGTCATACCTACTGGCCAGTTGGCTGGGTCGACCAGTCGGCCAGTTGCTTAGCCTTTTATATATATAGATAGGGAGATGCACAGAGGGGCAGGTGATGTGAAGACAGAGGCAGAGGATAGAGTGACGTCGCTACAGCTCAGGGGTGCTAAGGCTTTCTGGCAGCCACGGGAAGCGGGGGAGAGGCATGGAATAACCGCCCCCTCAGAGCTTCCAGAAGGAACCAACCCCGTGGACACCTTCCTGGCAGACGTCTAGCCTCCAGAGTGTGAAAAATAAATGTGTGATATTTGAGGCCACTCGGTCTGTGGTACTTGCCTGTGGCAGCCCTAGGAAACCGACACAGTGGACACGGGAGGGTTCTGAGGACACTGCAGGTGCCATGGGACCTATTTTCTCCTAAACCTGAGCCTTCATCTTCATATGGTATCACCATTGGCCCCTTGCTCCGTCCACAAGCCTGCCAGCCACCCTTCCCCCCACCCCACAGCCAACCCACCTCCGAGTCTGTCCGGCTCTCGCCTCCACAGCACCTGGGACTCTGCCCACTTCCTTTGTCTTAGGCCTTCCTCCACCCAGTCACCATCCTCCTGCACTGGATGGCGTCAGCCCCTCCTCTAACTCATTTACCCTCCTCATTGGCTCTCGCCGTCTATGTCTGCT